CTCTCTCTCTCCCTCTCTCTAAGTAAGTCAACTAATGCAGCCCAGCTCTCTGAGCTCACAGTCACAGAGCACTCACAGCCATTAGCCACATCTAAGGCAGCTCTGTGGGACGAGTCATTGAATCAAGTTCAGGTGTGAAAGCAAACAATGACAATTGCTGCGCCACAATTTGAAGACCATTTCAGAGCTGTTCTCTGTGTGGATTTTTGACTATTCAAGCACAAAATTACGCATACGCCGTGTGGAAAGTTACAGCGAAAGGCAAATGCAAACGACCTGCCTTGAATGCCACCCGCTGACTCATTTCTCGCTGTTTTTTGGGCAAATAAATTTGCAATTGATGCAGAAATGTGCAAATTTTACAGCAGCAGCAGCAGATAACAAGAATTTCATTTTTTTGGCCAGCGCAAATACGATTAGTCATTGAACAGCAGCAGCAACTGTTGCCGTTGCCAAGTCAATTTCGAAAACTTTGCCACAAATTTTGTGCATTGAACTTTTGTGCTGCAGTTCACAATTGTTATTATTATAATTTTTAATTTTATTTTTATTTTTTACACACTTTTTTTATGTGCTTTTCATTCTTTTGTCAGCCGAAAAATCTGCTGTTGACGTCGCTCGTTTGTTTATTCTGGCACTTTTCTTGCGAATTTGTTTTGCGCAGCGACAATGTGTTAATTCCACAAACAAATAGGCAGCAGCAACAAGCATTGCCCTGCGAAGTGCAGCAAACGAGCGCCTCTAATTGCGATGTTGCTGCCAGGCGCGCGCATGCGTAACAACAGCAGCAACAGGCGAGAGGCGACAGCAACAGCCAACAATGACAAAGTGTTGCTCGTGCTGATTGCATAAGCTTGCAACTGCAATTAGGCAGCTAGAATGTTGCAACAACTGCAACAGGTGTTGCTGCTGCTGCTGCTGTTGCTGACTTAACTTTTCACATTTCATCGCAATTGTCAGCGATTAATCGCGCATTTATTTGAAATGCTAAACGTTTATAAATAAAGCAAAACAACAACAACAGCAACACATTTTAAATACATAATTAAAATTTAAATGATATTTCGGCAGCAATTCACAAAAATTTATATTTATTTTCTGCTCGTCTTTGTTGATGTTTGCAGTTCGTTTTGTGTCGAAAAGTCATAAAAAATTGCGTGCATTGGACTTTGCTGCTGACTCGGCGCGACTGCTGAGTGGAAAGAGATGACAGAACAACGGCAACATCAGCAGCAGCAGCAGCAGCAGCGGAAGTGAGTGCGACTGAAAGTGAAAGGCGCTGGAAGATTGTAAAGGAAGTGCAAAGCAGATGCTTTCATTTTGTAATCTTCTCTTCGAAGTCATTGAACATGGCAACACACCTGAGCGAGTAGGTTGAGCTGCATGAAGCTAATGCCCCGACAGATTAGGTGTGAAGTAAGGTATGATAAGATATTAAACCGGTTCGTATACGGAATTGCAAAGTATTCTCAGCTGTAAGCAATTTTCAAATATTGATAAATATCGATAAATATCGATCAGCATGGCTTCTTTTAATACAGCTCGAACACTATATAAGCTAGATTTATTGAGTTTGTTTGGTATGCCAGTTTCTCTAAATTGAGCAGATACCCTGTATATTACATCAATTCATACAGGGTATTTTTATACCTTTCTACGCCTAAGCAGACGACATAAGCCAGGCCAAACATAATTATATCATGTATCTAGCAATAGCTACTCCTATATCCCTAATATCGATAAATATCGATTTTGGAGTCTAATGTTTTTTTGACATAACTCAAAAACTTAAAGCGTTAGAGTCATCAAATTTTGTACACAATTTTCAGTTAGTTAAACAAGTTCAAAAAAAGATTTCTTTTTTATATAACAATTGCACGACTCGCAGTTACCCTGTAACAGTTTAACTTCTTCAGCAAACTTAACTTTCTATGTGTTATCTTCTCTTTAGTTCTGTTCTCTTTATAAGTTACACAAACAGAATCAATATAAACTTGAGCTAAAAAGGTAAACAGTCTCTATCAATTTCACAGCTGATTCTCATTAAGAATCTATACGTCTGCGGGGCTCTAAATACTTTTTGCACTTAAGCTGACATTAACGAGCATATTAATCCATTTTATGAACAGCTTGGCAACCACTTGGCCATAATTCCATCGTAAAAGCCAAACAAATAACGCCCCAGAAAGCCCTCAAATAGACCGAATTATTTGGCTTTTTGTTTCAGTTTATTTTGATTTCTTGCTCGCCTTCCTCTCTCTCTCGCTCTCTCTCTCAATTTCAATTGGCAAATAGAAGTAGAAAAAGTTCAAACAATTGGATTTGGCTGAAAACAATGGCAAAAGGTGTTTGCTGTTGCGCTTTAATGTAGCCAGGCAAACAAAGCACAGCAATTGTCGACCAAAACACAACAACAATGGGCCAAAAAAAATAAAAAACCACCGCAACAAGAGCAATAACAATTCGCATTCGTCTAGAACTGGCAGCTGACCCAGTTTTAAGCCACAATTACAATTTCGTATTTCAAAAGCTCCGCTGTTTGTCTTGAGCTGCGCAGACGCAGCAGCAGCAGCAGCAGCAGCTCGCTTTTTGGCTGTTCAAAGAGTCATCCAACAGAGCAGATCTCTGTGTGCTGCTGACATTTGATAGTTTGCTTTCAAATTGACTACAATTGGAGTCAGACTCGATGTCGAGCTGTTCTATGTTACTGTGTCGCCTTGGCTGTTGCTGTTGTTGCTGTTGTTGCTGTTGCCGCGGGCGACAACTTTGTACCCATTCCCAAGCCAAGACACTTGGCACTGAGGACCTAGTTGCTGCTGCTGCTGCTGCTGCTGCTTTGCTGGCCCACAAAAATTTGGCATTTTAATTGCATTTCGATTGACAGCGCTGAGAAAACACGCATACGCCGCGTTTGACAATCGCCAGCGCATTTCGTCCTGCCCAAACAACGGCAACTTTTGCAATTAGCCCAAAACAAAATACACAAAATTGAATTAGCACACAATTCGCATTGCGGTTGCTGCCACAAAATGGGGCAAACTGTTGGGGCTTGTGGCCTGTGACCCAATTTTGAGGCAACAGTTAATTAAAGTTCCAGTGACAATAGCTGAAAATAAATCCCAGAGCAAAGCTTTGAGAGAGCACGCAAAAGCTGTTAGCTAATTCTGAAGTCTAGAAGAAGAAGCTTTAAGCTTTAATCATAATTAAAACATAATGAAGCTGAAAATTATTAGAAAATATAAAAATATGAATTGATTATAGAAAGAGATAGAAATATATATAAGCTGCGAAATAGAGTATTAAAACTATTTACTAGTCGAGTAAGGGCTACCTTAGTGAAAGCATTCATATTTAAATTTATTTTTTAATAGCACAAAATTGCATTGAATCAATTCAGATGTTGCTTTAATGTGCTTTTAAATTTATTCTCACTTACTTGCGTGCTTTACTACTTATTGTTATCAATAAGATTTCAATTAAAGCAGCTTTTAGAGCTTTGTGCTAAGAAGATCTTGCAGTTAAGTGAACACATTTATATAAGCTTTGAGCTCAAAAGCTTTGATTGTCAAAGCACATGAGCGCAGACTGTTTAATTTCTATAGAAATATTTAAGCTTTGGTTTGCACACATTGAGCACATTGAGAAATCAATTTCAAATATTTTTATTGCTATTTAGAACTTTTTAGAACTATTTAGACTTTTATAACTTAGAATAAAGCTCATAGCAATTAGATTCATATAACTTTAAGCTATGCCTAATATTGTCATTTACAAAGAGGAAAACATTTTTTGCTAAGCTGAGCTAAAGCTTTAAGATTAATTTCTTGAAATGAGAAAATAAATGATGTAGCCTAAAGAATGAGCAGCTATCAGTCGTAGAAAGGCAAAATGCATTGAAGCTCTTCAGATCTAGATCCATTTCCAGATGCACATACAGATCCGCATCTGTTATTAGTTTACTTAATGCTGCCATTTCCCCCTTTGCTACTGCTGCAATCAAAAATTTGTGCCACTTTCTGGCCATGTCATTGCACTCCTGCAGCATTTGCAACAAAAGCGTGCCACGCCCGCTTCGAGCATAATTGCATTTAGTTGCCTCTTTGCATGACCCAAAAATAACAAAAAAAGAGAGAGAAAAGAAACAAAATTTGCTGCTAAATAATTTGAGAGTTTTTCGCTTTTCGTTTTTCGTTTTTGTAGATCGTAATGAAAATTGCAAAGTTAATTGGAAATTCTCTCACGGCGTGCGATTGGCAGAGTTGGCATTGCCATAAACTGGCTAAAGCCAGGCCAAGAGCTTAATTAAACAACAGGCCAAACGAATCAAAACGCCCAGCAACAACAGCAACTGTTGCAGCCACAACAACAGCAATCACAAGCTGCCACAAAAGCAATTTGAGTGAATTATTGAAACGTTTTCATATGCAACGGCTGCAAGGATTGAGGAAGCTGCAACAATTTCAATAAAAAAAAAAAACTTAACTGGAAAAGCAAACACGAATATTTTCTCTCCCTCTCTCTGTCCCTCTCTCTCTCTCTCTCTCTGTGTGTGTGTGTGTGTGGGCTGCTTGGCGTGGGCAAAATTGAAGGAAATGTTTGCTCAGTGAACGCAGGCCATAAAAAATGGCAACAAATGTTGCAGGGCGACTAATAAATGTTGCAAGCAGCTAGCAGCAACAGCAACAACGATTCGCAGTGACAACAACAGCAACGGCAACGGCAACGGCAACGGCAACAGCAGCAACAATTGCCTCTTACACACCCACTGAGCATGCAACAAAGTCACAATCCTGCCCCTTGCCCACCTTTTCTTTTAGGCAATTAATTGTGCAACATCAAATAAATTGCATTTAAACGCAACAACAACAACAACAACTACAACGACTGCAGCCATTGCTGCTCGCAGCAACATTTCACTCTGACAAGTTTCATAAAAACTAATTTGCTTTTTTTTCAGGCTCCTTGAGTGTGTGTGTGTGTTAACCAGGAAGTACACCCACCTATGCCAGGCCTCTGCAACAGGCTGCAGATGTTGCTGCTGGCTGTGCGCAGCTTGTTGGCGAAGTCAACTGCGATCATCGCATAGAGGGAAACTGATGTTTGGGCTTAGATTAAAGTTTTATTGGCGACGAACGCTAGGGATTATGATGTTGCGAGCTGCTGTGTTAACAGCAATCGATTAGCGTTCGCTTACGCCTTTCTATGCGATTCACATGAGATGGGAAATCGTGTGGATGTGCTGCAATTGGGAGGGCAGAAAAGAGAGAGAGCTAGACATGCAGCAAGAGTAGCAGCGATAGCTGCAAATTTTGTCATAGCTAATCTTAGCCTTTGTTATAACAATGAAAAGAAGAGCTTGAACAGAGCATAACTTTTAAGGCTCCAACATCAAAAGATTGAGTTACTGCTACGAGAGGAGTCTAACACATTTCGAAGCCAAGCAAAAAAATATGGATATATAAATTATAAGTTAACTTATATATATGTAAAAATACTCTTTCATGTTTTTCCGAATACGCTCAAACAGCTTCATTCAAAATAAATTTAAATATTTGATAATCTTGTTAATAATTGAATTTTATTTAGCTTAAGCTTGTTTGTATTAAATTCTATTAGAAAAAGTTTTGATTGACTGAATTTCAATGAGAAGCACATAGAAGGGCAAATTTGTAGAAAAAAGTCTAAAATTCTTTAATGCAATGCGACAGAAGAGCTTAGAATCTATGTAGGTTAGAATTTCTGTAAGCAAACACTGGATATATAAATTCTATAGGCGCTAGTCATAATATAACTGAGCTTAAATGAGCATTACATAGAAGGGCAATGCGCAAATTGGCAAATTTATAGAGAAAAGCCTGATCTCCTTCAGTGCAACTCGAACTGAGCAGCAAAGCCTACAATTAGCTTAAAATCTGTGTCAGCAAATGAAAGACATATAACTTCTATAGGAAGTCAACATAAAGCTGAACTTCAATGAGAATCACATAGAAAGGCATTGCGAAGAATGTAGAGAAACGTGAATGAAATGCCTAAAGGCAACTCGAGAGACGAAAAGCCTACAATCGATGTAAACAAATGCTAGACATAATAATCTATAATTATCTATATCAATCTGTGTGTATATCGCGCACAATTTACAACTCAATTAAATGGCTATAAAACGATTATATAAGACAGTGTAATGGCAATGCTGTTTAGCCTAACAACATTTAACGCGACAATCTGTTAATGTCCCCAACGAGCTTGGCCACGTCTCAATCGACTGTTTATCTAACTCTCCAGATCTTGTGGCAGACATAATCTGAGATCTTAGCCTGGTCGCAGCTTTAGTTGCTGTGCGCGTTGACAGTCGGCTGCAGCCATTCACTTTTGCTTAAGCTACAGCTACAGCTGCTGGGGTACTTACAGTCGCGGCTCATGCCAGCCGAGAGGCATTTCTTGAAGCGACAATACTGACAGCGATTCCGATTGAGCCGTATGACCAGGCACTTGCCGTCCCTCAGGCAGCGATACTCGATCTGCTTCTGTATGCTGCGACGAAAGAAGCCCTGCAACGGGATAGATGTGAGTGAAGTCTCTTGACTCCTAATTGCAAGTGCAGCAAGTGCAACTTACCTTGCAACCCTCGCAGGAGGTTACACCATAATGATAGCCCGAAGCTTTGTCGCCACAAACTTTGCACGGCACAAACGACTTTGAGGAGACGCCGTTGCTGCTGCTGTTGTTGTTGCTGCTGCTGTTGTTGTTGCTGTTGCTGTTGTGATTGCTATTGCTGCTGCCGTTGCTGGAGTCAACAATACCAAATTTCTGCTGCTGCTGCGCGTGGTGCTGCTGCTGCTGTTGCAACTGCTGTTGCTGCGTGTGTTGCTGCTGCTGTTGCTGTTGCTGCTGCTGCTGCTGCTGTGAGTGTTGCTCTGCAATGACAAAGTGCATTTGCTGTTAGCTGCTTTACACATTACTCATACGCCACTTGGCCAAATGAGCAGGCGTCAATCGTCTATCGCCTGCCCCATATCTCTTGCCACATTCCCAGCTCTCGCCTCATTTGTCAGTGACAAACGCTGACAGCTCGCGCGCGCCTGTCAATAGAGCTGCCTGACGCTGCTGCTACCTGTGGGTGGCTGGCTAACGGCAATCGAATTCAGGTGCAAACAAATTATATTAATGGACAGCTCGATTGTGGCAATATTGAGCTGGCATTTGCCACAATTAAGCAGCAGGAAAAGGCGAGCTCTGCGAATCGAATATGGAATATGAAAAATTTGAGATTAAGCTGAGATTAAATTAAATTAATTCAATAACAAATTGATTCACATTGAATGAATTCATTCAGTAAACCTAACTGTAGAGCAGGTAAATAACTATCTTGGGCATCTATGCATATATAGATCAGTCGCTCAGTCCTTAGTGAAGCTCAATATTTACTCACTTAGAATTTTTGTTTTCTTATATCTAGTAGTTGTACTCATAAAAGCTTAACACTTTATAAGGCAAGGGCACTCAAGAGCATATATATTCTAAATTGCAGGTTTGAGCTTTACTTTTCATATAGAAGCACCCATAGAAGACAGAATGATATGTGGATTCAGATATGACCTTGAGAATAGTTGTGTAAGAGAAAGAAGAAGACTCCATACGCTCCATGGACATTGAATAGTCTTAACTGGGAACTAAATCGATGTTGCTGTTGGTTCATCTGTTATAAATCACAAAAGACTTGAAGTTTAGAAGAAACGTTTTTCAACACTGGATTTGCCTTAGTGAAGCTCATGAGCCTAAGCAGAGCGTATGAATGAATGAACGAATGAATCTATGTATGTATGGATGAAAGTATGAATATATTAATGAATGATTTAATGCGTGAATTTATATATGAATATATATGAATGTTTGTATGTATGAATGTATGAAAGTATGAATATATGAATGTATGAATGCATGATTATATGCGTGAGGGTATGTATGTATGTATGTATGTATGTATGTATATATGCATGTATGTATATATGTAGGTATGTATGTATGAATGAATGTATGTATGAATGTATGTATCTATCTATCTGGATATATTGATATCCATTTATGTATGTAAGTATATATGTATGTATGCATGTATGTATGTATGTATGTATGTATGTATGCATGTATGTATGTATGTATGTATGCATGTATGCATATATGTATGTATGTCTGTAAGTTTGAATGTATGTATGTATGTATGTATGTATGTATGTATGTATGTATGTATGTATGTATGTATGTATGTATGTATGTATGTATGTATGTATGTATGTATGTATGTATGTATGTATGTATGTATGTATGAATGTATGAATGTATGAATGTATGAATGTATGAATATATGAATGTATGAATGCATGATTATATGCGTGAGGGTATGTATGTATGTATGTATGTATGTATGCATGTATGTATATATGTATGTAAGTATGTATGAATGAATGTATGTATGAATGTATGTATCTATCTATCTGGATATATTGATATCCATTTATGTATGTATGTATGTATGTATGTATGTATATATGTATGTATGCATGTATGTATGTATGTATGTATATATGTACGTATGTATGTATGTATGCATGCATGTATGTATATATGTACGTATGTATGTATGTATGAATGTATGTATGAATGTATGTATGAATGTATGTAGCTATCTATCTGGATATATTGATATCCATTTATGTATGTATGTATGTATGTATGTATGTATGTAAGCATGTATGTATTTATGCAATATAGCAATCTATCCATCTAAGTAATCCATCTATCCATCTAAGTAAAGTATAAAAAAGTTTCAAATGAGCAGAGGTCAGGGTATCTCCTAGTCGTGCCGCCTCCCGACTTGACAGCTCTTATTTGTCTTTGTTTAAATTGAAAACTTTTCAAGTTCTCTTCAGCTTTTTAGACCAGATTCTTGTCGTGCTGTCGCGCTGCGCAGCAACAGCCTCGAAAATGCATTTAGTGAACGCAATTGCTACGACAGACAGCAATCAAATTCAAATGCGAGCAGCAGCAGCGCTAAAAGTGCATTCAACTTCAACTTCAGCAGCAACAACAATGCTGATGGCTGCTTGAATGTGTGATAAGCAAAAATGCCAAAAAATCACGTATACGCCACAGACAGCCACCTACACAAGTGCAGCAGCAGCAGCAGCAGCAGCAGCAGCAGGAAAACTCTTCAACAAGCCGCACACAAATTTCCACTGCAAGCGCCGAAAATTTGCAATGCAAATTGCACAGGAAAAACTGAGGCACACAAGAGGCAGCAGCAGCAACAGCAACGGCAACAGCAGCAGCAACAACAACTACCCGAGAAACTCTGTTGGCTTCTTGGCATTTCATTTCATTTCATTTCATTTCAATTTGCCTTTTTCTAATGCAAAAAAGGCAAATGAACTAAGCGCGGAGTTTGAACTGCGAGTTGCAGTTGCTGCTGCTGCTGCTGTTGCAGCAATCGGCATTGCCACACCTCGAAATGCGAAGCGAAATGAAATGAAATTAATGTGCAGCTTGCACGCGCCAACGAGCGACGCACTGGCAACTGGACGCAAGAGTTGTTGCAACGCTGGCTAGGGGCAAGGCTGGGGCTTGTGTGGTGCATATGCCCCAGTGTTACGGGCTTGTGCAATTGCAAATTGAATTTTCAGCTAAGAGTGGCAGAGCGGCAGGGCGGGGGCGACTGGAAAATGTCAACGGCAAAGGAAATTCAAGTGGCAGTTGCTGTTGCAGCCACAAATGCTGCAACTGCAACTGCAACTGCTGCGGCGGCTGTTGTAGCTGCTGCTGCTGCTGCTGTTGTCGCTTCATTTTCGCGCCGCGTTCAAATGCAAATCACTTGGCCGCCTTTGTGAGCTGACAATTTAGATGCCATTGTTGCCGCTGGGCGGAAGGGGAGGGGGCGACAGCGGCTGTGGCAGGGGCAGCTGCCGCCTGGCATTTCCGCGTTGCCAGACAGTGGCAAGCGATAGACAAGCGACAACAACAGCAAACAGTTCATAATTTTGTATTTATTTGCTTTTTTCTTGGCATTCAGCGATAAAAGACGCAAAGCAGAAGGAAAACTGATTGAGTGCTTGGAAAATCACTGCACAGGGGGCAGTTGCAACAGCAACGCGTTTTGACAGCGCCTCCGCTTCAAGTGCAATTTAGTTTCTTTTGCTTTTGCTAATTGCCGCAATTAAATGCTGCAAATAAATCCTGGCAATTGCTCAAAAGCAACTGCAACTGCGACTGCAACAGCAACAATTGCAGCGCACAAGTTTCCTTTGGCACTTAGCAAACTCTGCTAGAAAACTTTACAGATATAATTCACTAATAAACTTGAGCAGAAATTATAAATTGGGCTTTAGATGTGATTAAGAGCAGCTGGAAGCCTTGAGATATGCTTATAAAGTTTCTATTTGTCTGAAAGCTAGCGTAGTTTTACAGTTATTTTAGTGAAAATTTAAATCAATTTTTATTAGCTCAGCTATTTTCAGAGCAGCCCACATATACACTCCGCCCTCAATGTCCGTTTTTGCCTTTCTCATATGAAATATTTGCCTAAGCCTTTTCTTTGGCTTTGCTAAGTTTTTGATTTGTATTTAAAATATTTTTAAATATTTATAAAATGCGTTGTAGAAGCTTACATAAATTGTTAATAAATATTTGATGTGTTTTCATTTCAGTTCGACTCAACATACTCCATCTTCTCTAAGGACACTCAAAACATATGCCAACAACATGCGACTATTTCAACAGTTTCCGCTTGATTTAGATAATCAAATTATCGAAACAGAAAACAAAGAGCTTAAAGCCAAGTTAGTCATGTATCTACTTAGCACAGCTTGAACACTATTTGCAATTGATTTAAGGAACTTAAAACATTAATTTCTATAGCTGTAAGCTTGCTTGAAAAATGCTTGCCTTGTTGAGATATATTAACTATAGAATTGTATAGTATAGTATAGTATAGTATAGTATAGTATAGTGTAGTATAGTATAGTGTAGTGTGGTATAACAAAGTATAATATAGTCCCTAGACTGTTTTCAAAAGATTGAATAATAATATAAATTTATCAATTAATATTTTTTTAAATTTCATGACTTGAATTAAGAATATATTCCTAAGCTCCCAAATATTATAAGAAATTGTACAAAATACAGAAGTTAAAAAAGTTCAAGTGTTTGATAAGAATTCAATATAAATACAAATTTAAGAACAGAGAGAGTCTGGCAGGCAAGCTCAACAGGCCTCAGCTCATATTTCCAGGTTACCAAAATCGTTAAGCTTCAGCTTTCCGAGTCGAATCACTACATTTTCCTAATAAACTCTCTAATTTGACTTTGCTTACATGTAATGCCAAAGATTATCCAATGCTTTTCCTGTACATCAGTTGCAACAAGTTGATTGATTTGGTGGCATGCGCCGCCCAATTCAACTTAATTAAAATGTTTGCGGCAATCAAATTAATTTCAACTGAGCAATTGGCAAATGCAATTTGAAAGTCATTTATGAAAATGAAAACCATTTTGCCATGGCTTTCAATTGCAGCAGCAGCAGTGACATGAAAGCCAATTTTCCTTCAACAACAGCAACGAGACGAAGGAGAAGAAGAGGAAAAGCGAATTACATTCATTTTCACATTTTCCATGCTGCACTTTAATAGTTTCCGCAACGCAAAGATGGAAAGAGGAAAGAAAAGATAAGCACGAGTCGAGGCAGCAATTGTTGCCGCTTTTGTTGCTGTTGCTGTTGCAACACGGAAGAGAGACGTGACACACCGTCTGGCTGTGGCATACCTGCGTGTCCTTTGCTCAAATGCGCAACAGTTGCCGACGTGGAGCTGATCGCTGGCGAGGATGTTGCTGCTGAATGGCCGTTGTGTTGCTGTTGTAGCTGTTGGTGCTGCTGCTGCTGATGTTGCTGATGGCTGGCATTGAGTAGCGTTGAACGATTGTAGAGCTCACCACTGGATGCCGACGATGAGGATGAAGATGAGGAGGAGACGTTGGCCGAGCTGGAACTGGAGCTGCAGCCGCTGCCGCGTCCGCTGTCTGGCGAGGAATGTGCCCCGGCCGAGCTGCAACTGTTGCTGGCGGGACCAAACTGATGCACACTGCTGATGGTGTACAGAGCACCTCCACCATTGCTCAAAGCCGTGCAGCTCAGATGTGCTGCTGTTGCTGCCGCTGCTGCTGCAGCTGTTGCTGGTGCTGCGGCAGCAACTGTTGCTGGCGTTGCACTATAGAAGCTGTCGCACTGCAGCAATTGCAGCGGGTCCGCTTCGATGGCACTTAAACAATGCTGCAGCTCCTGCGCTGGGCCAGCTGCTATTGCTGTTAGCTGTTGCTGCTGCTGCTGTTGCTGCTGCTGCTGTGGTTGCTGCTGCTGCAACAGTTGCTGTTCCTGTTCGTCCTCTGGCTCGGTGTCTAGGCTGCCCGCTTCGCTGAAGGCGCCCTGCGTAGATGAATCCTCGGGCGTGTCAAAGAAATGCAAATTGAAATCTGAATTTGCATCGAAGCCGACTTCTGGCAATGCTTCGTTCTCCTCCTCCAATTCGTCCTCCTCCTGCTCCTCGTCTTCCTCATCTACTTCCTCGTCCTCCTGCTGTGGCTGCTCTTCGTCTTCCTCCTCGTCCTCCTCCTCCTCCTCCTCCTCCTCCTCCTCTTCGTCTTCGTCGTCGTCTGCCTGCTGGAGTTCTTGCTTTGCCTCCAAATCTGCAATATTGCTGTTGTCCTGCTGCAATTGTTGCTGCTGCTGCTGCGGGCGTGTCAGTGGCTGGCCCAGATTCTTCACCACAGTATCGATCAGCAGTTGGGAGCGTATTTGTGCCTGTGCCTCCAGCTCTATTTGGTATACATCCATGTTGCTGGCGTCGCTGCAGTCGCATTGGCATCCATTATCATCAACAACAACATCTCGCAAATTGAATTCGATTCAAGCAACATTTGCAATTTTCTTTCCACTTAATAAACAGTTCAAAGATATCTTGATACGATCTTAATTATATATATATATATATGACACATTTAGTCCAAAAATATTTGTATTCCTATATAATTTGTACAAATCTGAAACTTTTAACTTTTTTTAATCGAAAGAATTAATTTTTTTGATGCATTTCTGAATCTCACTTAATTAAATTATTAATTTAATAAACAAGCCTTTCTTTGCAGTTCTCAAAATATTTCCTTTTGGTATTTTTGGCATCAAATATCAGAGACCCTCAACCCTTATCCTAAAACCTCTTGATTTCTTTCTATATTTTCCAATTTATAAAATAAACTAATTATTTTTTCATATATTTTCACTTATATATTGCTTAAAAGCTAAACGATTTTCACACTTCACTTTCACACAAGCTTAAGATTGATTTTCAATTTTCATCAATATAATTTTCGAATCACTTCCATGTTTGTTAAACCCGTTATTGGAACTGTTCGATAAGTATCCATAGATCTCGACAGTTGGATAAGCAGGACGCGTTCACTAATTAAACAAATTGAAAAGGAGAAACAGCAAGAGAGAGAGGGAGATAGAGAGAGAGAGATAAAGACTGAGTGAGAGGGAGAGAGCGCGATAACGGCGACGGCGACGACGACGACGACGATGACGGCGACGACGCAACAACGTTTAGGAAAATGCCAAATGGAAATTGTGAAAATGTGCGATCGCGCGTACAAAACTCTCGTCTCGACGAGATCCAAGCGCCAACTTCGCAGCGCTCCAAATGCGCAACAGAAATTCAAACCAAACTGCAGAACTGCAGAACCTACGACAACGACAACAACGACGACGACGGCGGCGACGACGACGGCAGCGACGGAGCACAAGAAAAGAACAAGAATAAGAAGAAGGCGCGTGCGTGTGTGTGTGTGTGGAAAGAGTAGGAAAATAGCATGCATGCATGTGTGTGTGTGTGGTGTGGTGTGGTTGCATGGAGTAGGAAAAACTTTTGTAGCGCCGTTTGAGCGACCGCCGCACTAGGCAACCGGCTGACTCAGAAGCAGAGGAGCAGCAGCAGCGGCAGAGGAGCACCAACAGCAGCTGCGGGAGGAGTGGGAGCTGGGGTGCATCTATCTTTCTAATCTACAACAAGAACAACAACAACAGCAACACGCATTGGCACTCTCGCTGTTTGTTGTTGCTGCACTTTTCCATTTGCTGGGGCCACTTGGTTCCTGGTTGCTATTTTCAATTTCTATTGCCCGTGGGCAGCAGCTACAGAGATAGCAGCGACGCCAACGCTAACGTCAGCGTCAGCGTCGACGTCGATGTTGACGTTCACTTCAAGTGCACACACTTCTTTCTCTCAAGATCAATTTCACACACACAACGATAGGCAACGGGCCTAGAGAAGAGAACCGTTACAAAGTTTGCAATATCGCGTGAGTGCAAGAGAGGGAGAGAGAGCGAGAGCGCGCAAACCAAATGGCAGGAGAGAGCAGCAAAGTCAAAGAACCTTTCGCGTCTTTTGAGCGTGCCAGAGCGCTTGAGCAAGAGCGCAGCGAACGAGCGGGAGTTCTACAATGCGGAAGTGAATAAATATTGCACTCGATGTAGTTGTTGCTGCTGCTGCAGTTGGTGCTGATGTTGTTTTTGTTGCTAGGCAGTAGAAAGTGCCAAACAAGTTTTGGTGCCAACAGATTTTGAGCTGTGCGCTGACGCCCGCAACATAGCGGAAAGAACTTTTTAGACGAAAGAGAAAGAGAGAGAGGGAGACAGAGCCAAAGAAACAGTTGCACATGAGTGAGAATTTGAATATAATTACTGGAAGCAAATTAGAAGAAGAAGAAAACAAGTTTTTGTTGAATAGATGTAATTATAAAAAATCTTTCTATTTAGAGAAGAGTATTATTCGAATTGGAATAAGGCAGTAGCCATCAAAGTATATTGGTTTACCACTCTAACTCCTAATCTTGCTCTCTCTATAATCTATAATCTATAGTCTAGCTGCCTCCTTCACGCACTCATCAAAACGCAAAAGAAATGACAAAATTATAAATAAATGGAAAAAAATCAAGCAAGTGTTGTATGCGCACAGTTTTCCACATTTCGCAACGGTCTCCATGGCGCAACCGCCTCACACATTTTCCATGACGAATGCCTGGCACAAAAGAGAAGCAACGAAAGTCAATGATCAGCGTGTGGCAAAACGACGTCGGCCGCAACTGCGGCTAGTTTTGCTATTTTTCCAACGGCAGCGAAAGCAACAGAAACTGTAAATAACAAGAAACAGCAAAGGCAGCGAGGATCGAAAGCGAAAAGTCAACGAGGCAAAGAACGGGCGCAGACGGTCGCAGACGGGCGCAACGGGAATGCTTCGTAAAGCCGAAGCGTATGCCCGACCGCCGACCGCCGACCGCCCCCAACAATCGTAGCATGTTCGATTGCATTTGCCTGATAAAACCTGATCTTTGCAAACACACACACGACGACGCCATAAGACACGCGACGTCAACGCCGACGTCGACGCCAACGTCGACGAACCAGGAAGAGAAAAATGAAAATGCCGCTCGCTAACGCAGCTGCAGGCGAAGATTGTGTAATCGCTGTGAGTGTAACAGCGAGAGAGTGCGAAAGAGCGTACGAGAGAATTTGTCTATAAATGTGTGCGTATATGCGTATATATATCTATGTGTATGTGTGTGTGTGCATTGAGTGAGAGTTATTTGAAGCGGGTCGCCCTCTTCGCCGCAACCACGTGGCCTGTTGTTGTTGCTGTGCCCATTGCCTATGCCAATATGACCATGCCTATTTGCTGGCATGCGCCCATTGCATTTCACTTATCAACGCGACGGCAGCGGCTGCTGCTGCTGTTACTCAACTTTTTTATTTTTGCGTTTTTATTCGCTTGTCTCTAAGTTCAATGACTTAAGCAGCGTCACGGACAGCAGCAACAAAGTGGCGCAAATGCGTTTAGTTTTATTTATTTGCTCATTATTATGCCCCTGCTGCTAGATTCTTAAATTCTTGTTTACTTTGCACATTTTTTCCATAGCTTCTGTATTTTTTGTCGTTGTTGTTGGATAGATGGCGCTTGTTCTTGCTGCTGCTTGGAGCTGCGCTGATATGATAGCTTAAAAAGCTGTAAACAAGTTCTGGAGTAGGCGCAGTAAATTAATACTTGAAGCTGGAATTAATTGGCTTTTAGTTGAGCTAAGATGTTAGAAGAGCAACTTAGATTTGTGATTACTCAGCAATGTTATCAGTGGAACTGAAATAATTAATAATTTAAAGTACTTAAACAAATGTAAAGAACCAAAAAACTTTGACTCATACAAATGTATGTTTAATGCAATTATATTTATCTCTAAATAGCAAAGTATTTGAGATATAAAAATATTTTTGAATAGAATTTATATAGAAAACTTCTAAGTATAGAAAGTCTAAAAAAGTCTCTAGTTTTCCAAGCAATTAGATAACAAGTATAATAGCATACTTTTGGGCAAATCGCATCGATATATTTAAAAAATGTATATGTTTATATGTTATGTTTATATATATTTATAAAAATTAGAAACCACAAAGAAAACTGTAGAAATATTTTTAAAAATAATTAATAACAAAAAAATCACTTTTATATTATAAAAATTGCTTGAAGCTTTGTTGTTCAATATAGATTTAGCACAAAGAATATTTGTTTAATTTTCAAAACTCTTCAGTTCGTATTTAATTTATGGGCTTTGTAGCTAACATGAAGCAAACAACTTTTCTGAAGTCAAATCGATTAAAGACATTTTGCCTTTGAGACACTTATCACAGCAACTGGCAGGCCATTTATGTAGCTGCAACATCCTGCATGGCAGCAGGATTCTCAAAGGGATAAGCATCTAAAGCAGCAACAGCAACAGCAGAAGGGGAAACAACCGCCCGCAGTTCGTGCCACAATTTACCGTCGCATGGCATACAAAATCCATATAAATGCCAGACACAGCAGCAGCAGTTGCCACACATGGGCCTTGTGGCATACGATGTTGCCTGTGGCACACACTTTGTGTGTGTGTGTGTGTGTGTGACTGCTGCAGCGGCTGTTTATCTGTGGTTGGCAGGCGCAACCGAAACCGAAAACGAAACCCAAACTGAAGCCCCCCCAAAACCCAAAAGCACAAACACAAAAGACATTTTGGAACACGGTTGGCAGTTGAAGAGGCAGCAGGCTGTCGAGGGGCGTGGCTGGGCGGGTGGCATGGCTAGAGGCATGTGCAATGTTTGCCAGAATGTCAGCAACCTCAATTAAATGTTGCGATTTCATGCGTTGTTGTTGTTGTTGCTGGAGTTGCTTTCCTGGGTCATGATCCGTTTCGTGAGGGAAAACCGGGCAGCTATAAATAACAAAACCAAAGCGCACAGAAAAAAAAGCGAAGCAAGAAGAAGACTTTTCAAGCAAAGTGTAACAAACGTTTGCAATGCCCTTGCTTTAAGTGTGCTTGCAAGGCCGGGCATATTAGTTTGTCTAGTTGAAGCTTGCTAAAAAACTTAGGAGGTTGAGCTGTAAGCAGAGCAGATTAACTATTTGTGGATGCTACTTGGAATAAGTATAGATATGTGTAAATAAAGGTATATTATAAGAGAAGTATATATAGTCTGTCCCTCTCTCTCTCTTCTTTTTTCATACTCTCTTTGTTTCGCTCACTCTCTCTTCCTCATTATTTTTCTGCCTCTCCTGCTCTTGAATGGTCATTCATATCTCTTCTCTCTCTGTCCCTCTCCCTTTCTCGCTTCCTCAATGTCATACTCTGTCGCTCTCCTTCTCTCTATCCCTTTGTCTCCTTCTCTATTCCTGCCTCTTTCTTTCTCGGCCTCGCATTCTTACTCTCACCTAATCAGAATCTCATAAGAAAGCTAGCTAGAGTTTATGTAAG